ATCGATTCCTCACTACATTTTCATGTTTTCCCCTCTTAGTTCTTCATCTGCCTGTATATTAGATTGAATTCTGTAAAAACTCACCATTTTGCTATTAGGCTGCATTTTAGCCAAAGCTGTCCTTAGGAACACTGAGAGCAAAGCAATGCTACCGCACAATGGGAACTACTGGACGCTCTAATCACAAAACAGCAGAAGTATTTGAAGTGTCCTGCCCATGACCTTCACCTCAATCTGACAGAGCATGAGCTTTTGTGCAAAGAAGGGCAGGCAAAACTTTAACTGTGTAGTTCTGCAAAGATGTTTGTGTCATACCCTCACACATCTATCAGCTGTAGTTGAATCTGAAAAACTCACATGAAGAGAAAAGACAATTAGGAGAAATTTATTGATACAATTACTTTGTCTTTGGCGCTCAGACCTCAGCAGGAAACATAGTGCTTAATTTTGATAGATATGCATGAACATGATTAAAGAATAGGGCTGTTTCCCCCGAGGCCTGAAACTGGTGCTGGAGTGGAGATAGATGAAGCTGGTCAGTCTGTAGTCTGCTGGTTAGTGAGACGGTCTGCTGAGCTTTATGGGGAGATCCACTGGATTGAGTGAGCTGATTCTAGAGCTTCACTCAAGGACATGAGGTTTGGAGGTCTGGTTTGGATAACACAGGTTGAGAGAACCTATCCATGATGAGCAAGCATGAAGCGACAGTGGAGAGGAACAACTCCCCGTTGGGAAGAAACCTCTGGCTCAACATGGCGGTTATCTGCTGGACCGGTTCAGATGAGACGCGGAATGCAGTAAGAATCCGGGACAAACACTTTGATGAAGCTTTAGCTATGATGGTGGAGGAGGGGCTGGAGGTGGGTTGAAACGGTGTCATCTGAATGAAGTCACACAGCGCATCCGTCGCCTGCGCACAGGAGCAGACAGGTGGATCAGAGGCCTTTTAGGATGAACTTGAGATGCTGATTGGCTTTGGTGGAGGTGTGGTTCACAGCTGATTGGCTGTGTCGAAGGTGGATGTAGGAGAGCAATGAGTTTCTTCAGTTGAACTTCCGTCTAGGCTCCATTTGCACAGAAAGCTAATTTTGAAAAGAGTTTTGTGTTGGTCTATTGCAGTAAAGCTGATTTAGAAAATCTTTATAATTTTTAATAATGGAACAAAAATAAGGGACATGGAAACTATTCCAAAGAATTGCGGAGTTTCAAAGATTTGATGTACCTACGCTTTAAAATGTTGAATTGTTCGGTTTTAAAATGATATATGAAGCTTATCAATATTGAAGCGTGTTCTGTGCCATGTTATTTCACGCGACACCGCAAGATGGATAATCACAAACTAGCTGTGGGTCTAGATACAGCCGAGGTGGTGAGGAAGTAGGGACAAGTTTGTGCGACAACGAAAGGACATGAGGCTGAAAAAGTGCGGGGATCCAGCGGGTCCTTTTTCACAAGTCGTTTTCTGCAACGGCCGTCAGCCAAGCAAAACAAGCTGGTAAGGTTCCAAACAGGAAATACGCATAGCGCGGATGTAGATTTCACCGATCAGAGGCCTCCTGTCTGCGGAACCTACAGTTTTGGAGAGGTGCACCAGAATGTCTGCAGATGGGGTGAGGGCACATTTGCATTTACTGTGACACACACAGACGATCTGGTTTCTGAGTATAAATTAGCCTTAAGGCAGATACAGATTATAAGGAAGAGTCACGTCTTTCCTTTAAGATATAAGTTTTGAAAAACCTTAAACAGTAGAACGCAAACTGGGACTTGCATTTGTTTTTTTATTCTAAAGAATAAGAAGATATATCACCTTTAGAAGTGATCTTAAGAATTGTTGGACAATGAGAAACTTTTTAATCCAAAGCATGTTTCCAGCTTATCTTAATACTTTTTCACTTTAGACAGGTTTTCTTGGGTAACAGGAAGATCACTGCAACTAAGGACGCTGTCTACTATCATTCAGGAGAATTGCCCAGTTCTTTCTCTGTCTGTCTGAGGACAGCAAGAATAGAGTGATCAGTCACAGCCATCCAGCTTTGCCAAGCTCTCTTTTCAGCATTCTGACTCAGAGGGACCTCTGTTTTGATCGCAACGTTATTGTAAAAGCATCCTTTCTCCCTGTCCTTTTATTGATCTGACCATCCCTGGGCAAATTCTACTAGTCTCATCTTGACCTGAACAGGAAAGCATGAAATTAACCTGCGGCACAGGATGTTTTATGATTAATGCATTATCAAGCTGCTTTTGTGCAGAGCTGTTTTACAAAAGCAACCCCTAGATCCAATTGTATCACTTCTAGCACAACCCATTGTGAGTATGACGACTGCTTCATACTCTCATCTTCCAACTGGGGGGCAGAGAGCAGTTATTGGAGCTTCCTGTTATCTCCAAACTGCAGCATCACAGCTGGTATTGCCCCTGATGTTGCAAAAGAACGGGCAACATGAGCAAACATGAGAGCGCCTGTAGTAGTTTATTTTAGAAAAGGAAGCCAGTAAAACGGCATTGATACTCTGCCCCTATATGTATGTGTAATCAGTGATGTGTGGTCGTGGATTAAATTAATGACAGTTAATCCTATGGTTAATTTGTCCACTTGACTGTTCTATAATTCAGTTTTCTGTAAGAATTTAAGATTATCTATGATCTAAATTGCTGAATTCCCATATTGCTGATTCAAATGCATGCAAGGAAGGTATAGTGAGGTGAGGCAGTGAATTGTCTCTGCGCTTTCTTGTCACACACTGATTTGCACAGAGATTTAGCACTTTCATTAATGTCTTTCTTTTTACATCCCCTAATATACATTATGGATTACACTCATAACAAGTGACTATGTCTGATAATCTGTTTTATACAATTAATGAATTGGTGAGAAATATGTGATCTTTCTACTTGGACAAAAATGTACAGCAAAAAAGGCAAGGACCTCACCGATAGGGGCCAGTGCCGAGTCCAATAAGAAAAGGCAGCTCACAGGTGTACGTCACTAACTTACTCTAAAGCTACACAAAGTGGGTGTTTTCATTATTTCTAAGGGGCGGACCCGTTCTTTCAGTTTAATTTGCATGTTTTCTAAGCCAAAACAAGGCTTTGTTTTTGGGTTACTTTATAATTCTTCAAACTCAACGTTAATTCTGACATTTTGAATTGAAAAAAACTTCCTGGAAGCGAAACAATGGAACATCCCCACGAAACATCTTTGAAGTGGAAACAAAGTTCAGTGGATTGTTTGTTAACTTTTTCGGAATGACTACGACCTGGAAGACTGAAAATCTTTACCAGCAAATCTGAAAAATAGATAAAATAAAATAGTAAAACGCTTTTGTTGAAAGAGGTCAAATCAGAAAGAAATAAAGTATAAAATCTGTAAAAAAAAAACAACAAACAAACATTTGAAACAAACAAACAAAAAAAAACAAAATATGAGAAACAGCAAAAACTTTTTTTTATTAAAACATTATTCAAAATTCAAAATAGACTGCATTGTTTTAAATTTCAATATACAAAATGTGTTTCCTTCATTTTTTTCCCCTAGCAACAATGCAATGCAAAAGATTCACTCCATAGATAGGGTCTATTTTGATTAGACATACATAGTGATCTGGAAGGTCATGAATTAGGTCTTTGAAGAAGATATGAGAAAAAAACTGTCAAATCGTGATGTTAAGATCACATAACTATCTAACTGTTGAGGTAAATCTTGATTTTGTTTAAGCTTGACAAACCCTTTAGTCAAAGCCTATATGTTTTGATGCAGCTAGATGTACATCTTTGTGCCAAAAAGGGAAGCCTTGTGATCACCTGTTTAATTAAAACATCTAGAGCTGGGGTAACCAATTAAAAATCAGCGGGGTCTGAATTAAGAAAATCATCAACCAGTAAAGATCCGGAGAAATGTTTTATTATAATCCATTACTATAAACAGAATTTAACACTGAAATAAAATTAGATGTTTGTGCATCCATGTTATACATTGACTTTTGAGATAGAAAAACAAAAAACTTTTCCATTTTAAAGTAGAAAACAACAATCGTTCAGTTTGGTATATAAACATCTTGCTGATTTATATATTTTTTAAAAATACCTGAACTCACCATTTGTTGTTTATTTTTCTTCCTTTTTATGGGTTTAATTAGAGCAGTGGGCTTTAGGCTGCCCTGCAGGGCTCTAAACCTGGGTTTGATTAACGGCAAAGCTATTTTAAAGCACCTATCAAGCTGCTCATTTTGAGCCTGGATCCATATTTATTTTTCATTCTGTTCATGGTGGAGAATCCTGCTTCACAGCAGCAGTGTGAGCCGAACATACACAATATGTACAGGGTCATCTTTGAGCACCATTTTGGTTTTCTTTCACCAGTTCACAGCAGTTTTTCCAGCAGTCGACACTTTCTTTCACTTTTACTCATCGTTTTCTCCTTCTTTTCCATCACCCAGCTTGCCTCAGGTTTGCCTGCTGTGTCCAAAGTTAGCTGGCAGCAGCAGCCCAGACTGACACAACTCATCTGCTAATTTGTATCACGTGTAGCCTGGTGCCGGTTGCTTTGGAGGGCTTTAACTTATTAATAGGACAAGCGGCATAATTTTTTATTGTTTTAAATCAGGATGGGTCCGGATTAGCCAGCAGGTGGGTTTTAGAATCTACAAAGTCTTGGCTGCCTTTGGAAAGGTAAATGAAAAAACAAAAGTGGTAAGTCCAAATCATGACATAGAATGAACCTTTTGTTTAAAATGTGAATGAAACCACTTCCGGATTAAGGTGATTTCTGTACCACCAGTCTGCTTGGAATAAGAATGAGCTGTTCCAAATTGTGTCAGAAATGAATCCTGTCCCTCGTGGGTGGTGAGGTGAAGTGAGATAAAGGTTAGAGGCTGAAGATTACGTCTCTGCTGAACACACACGCATTTGTGTACTCAATTATATCTCTCAGTCAGTTTAATTAAATTAAAAGCAAGTAACGTTACCAGCTAAGGCCTGAGGTCGGCCAAGGGACTTACATTGGCAGCTCATTTCTCAGAAGTCCTGATCTCAAAAGAGGAGGATTCCTGGAAGAAATACAGGGAACAAAGTGTCAGACATGTCATGCTTTATTTGTTAAATTCAACACAACCTAGTTGGCTGTTTTAAGACACAAACACCCACATGGTTACAAATATACATTTTCATGCTCAGAGAGAGCTGATGATGTATCTGTGCAATGTAGGGTGGAAAATCAGTTTAAAATAATCAGATTCAGAAAAACTGCCTGAGGGCTACTTGTATGCAAGCATTAGCTCACAAAGGAGGGAGCATCTCCACCTTGATGTCTACCGTACTATGCCGCATTGCCTCTTTGGCTCTTCCCTCCTGCACCTCAGAGGGAAAAACTAAGGGATTAACACACTTTAACAAGTTCCAGTTACTGCAGTCTCTCGATCATCTGCAACTAAGTGCATAGAAAATATATGTAGTGCTACATTGACAATGACAATGTTCAACTAGGACTTGTTTTCATCTCTGCAAGCAAATGTTCACTCAACAATCACACTGCGTGATGCAGCTGCAGACATGTGTTGGAATAATACTTGGACACAAGATTGAGAGGATGCACAAAAGTGCCTTTCAACAGCTTCTCTTTATCTCCTGCTGCTGATGTCAAGTGGAGAGGAGAAAGACTGAGCTTCTTGGCACCACTTTGACAAGTGCCATATAAAATCTGTGAAGGAAGAAATCTCTAGAGTCATGCATCAAAGAGCATCCAAGAACTCTTCTTTTGTATTATAGATTAGTCTTTTCCTCATGATTTAGTAAACCCCCTTTGTTATTGCAGCCTCCTTTACACAAACCTGAGTCATATTTAAAACTCAGCCATAACATCTTCAGCATTTTAAATGAATGTGTGAGTTGAAGGTGTAGGTGAGGATGAAAACTGATATAAAGCAATAATAGAAAACCTTTTCTGGTTTGAAGTTTCCTTTTATGGTTTCCCTTTATTGTGAAAAACAAATTCCTGCAGATTTATGAGTGTTTCTTTGAAAAAGGAAGTTTTCTCTCAAAACAAGCAAGAAGATCGTTCAAAGTACCGAACAGCATAAAAAAAAAGTTGGAGTAAGGTGCAAAATAAATTATGTTTTAGTTAATAATAATAACAAACGTAATTTACTTGTCTTTTCAACTTGGTATAATTATCAATGAAATTGTTCCTCTTCGTTTAACCCAAATTTTAGTAAAGAGTAGACTGCCACTGTTCATTTCCTACAGGGCTTACTGGGGTAAAGGGTCCTGCTCAGAGACCCAGAGAGATTCATACTAGGGAACCTGCAGCATTCCCTTTATGCAATCGGGCTACTCTAACCACTAAGTCTAAAAAGAACAGTCAAAGGCAAGTGTCAGTTTTGCGTGAATAGTGTTTTACCATGATATATATGCTGGTGTAACAGTAAAAACCAAAGAAACATTGTTATATGGGAGAGATGTGAGGAAATTAGGCTCAATTTGTGAAAAAATGCAAACACTGCCAGTGTTTGCATTTTTTGCACAGAAATGCATAGTGTGCTATTCTGAACCGACAACTTCAATACATTCTTTTGGAAGATTAGGATTTTCTATTTAAAGTTTTTTTTTTTTTTTTTACATAAAAGTTATTCAATCCAAAAGTACTTTATTTATCCCAAAGGAAAATGAAATGTTGCCGTAAAGGAAGAATCTTCTGTAGCAGTCTATGTTCCACCGGATCTGGAGAAGCCTCTTGCTGGAGACATTATATACATCTTCTATTATAATATGTTTAGACTGCCCTACTGTTAAAGGTCTATAAGTATTTGGCATGCCAAGGTGAGCTAATCCTTATGGGGGTCAATTGAGTTAGCATAAAAAATAATATTATCTGTCGTTGCTGAAATATTTAAGTACCACATTTTATAGCATAGATGCTTATAGGTGGAATAAATGTTCACTCTAAGTTCTAACTCTCATGCGACAAAATGCTTCCATTATGTCTGTCACAGTAGACATGAAAATATGATGCTGGAAATATTTTCACTCAAAGCAGTTTGTCTTTGCATAAAATTCAAACATGACATGCACACACAATGATCATCAAAAAATAAACTAAACAACAGAAAGAAAAAAATTATGAGAGCTTGAAATTCTTTATTTTCACCCCTTTAAAGGAAAAGTACAAACAAGGAATAATCAATAATTCAATGTCTATACCTAAAACTAAATCACCTCAGATAAAATTCAAGGGGGAATTAGATTAACGCTAAATTCACTATAACAATTTAGTGAATTTAGCGTTAATCAGTAAAAATAATAAAAACAATAATATTCTTTGCAAATCACTGACCTGCCATTTTTGCCCAAATATAGTAACACCTCACTCCTGACATGTTCTGGCAGTGACATCACAGTGCGGTAAGCCTAGCGCCATTCTACCCAATTTACAAGCAAAATCAATGGGAACTACTAGACGCGTCTGCAATCAACAACAATTATTGTAGATTTCCAGAGGACTTCACCAGAGCTATGGTTAAACTGACAATGCATGGCAGTTGAAACACCAGATACAGCACTGAGACTTGCTCAATAGCCGATACCGCACTGTGACGTCACAAACCGGTAGGTGGCAGTAGTGTTCTTTGACGAACATGGATGTAAAGCACATTCAAATGAAAATTATCAATAATCATTTTATATTTAAATTACTTTTAGAAGTTTGAATTCTGAATATGACCAGAATTTTCCTTTAACAAGAGGGTTCTATAGCCTGGAGCTAAGCCACATATGCAAGAGAGGTCATTAGAAAATGTCATGGTCCTCAGTAACACGATTCAGTGTGTTACAGAAACGGCGTCTGTCTCGATCATACACCCCATGTGCAGAACAAGTGAAAACAGTTGCACAATGGTGGTTACCTTTGATTTTTTTTCCCCAGACAGAATCAACAAACACAAAACTCAAAGGCGCTGTGACCTTTTGCACTGAAATGTCAAGAAAATTGAAGAAAAAAAACAAAAAAAAACAAGCAGCCACGCATACACACTCATCTTAGCTGTTAAACCTGTCTGGTATTGGCTTCCAAGTGTTGCTCAAAAGAGAATAACAAGAACAGGAAAATAGCCCAGCACAGGGACATCAATGAAGATTGGATTTATTAGACATAGTGAAAGCAGCTGTAAAAAAAGAGTAAGACAGCCACTCACAAAAACAATAAACAGTTATGGATAAAGCTAATCCATCAGTTTTTTTTTTCTAGGTGCTGCTTCTACCTCATAAGGGAAGCATTAAGATTCCCATCACCTTCTCAAAGAACAGATTCCCATTTTCCAGCTCCTTCATTAGGCTTAGGTGATCTTGAATAAAAGACAAATGAAAGGCACTTCATGGAGTTTTGGGGGCATGAATTGTGAATGGGATTCATGCCAAACTCCTCCTGACTGACATCAGTGCCTACTGCAGAGTTGAGAGATTAATGTCAAACTGCACTTCACATTACAGGGTTTGTTGGGGTAAAGTAAAATGAATTAGAAATGAGATTGGGAAACTGATTGCAGTATCAGGCTGGGGATCTGCTGATTGGTCTCTTTATGTGAGGAATGCATTATAGATATCTGCTTAGAGCCTAGGGGAAATATCTATCTCTGTTAGAATACTCTGGACAGCAATCACCCATGCAATGCAAGTTCTGTTGAGAATTGAAATTCCCAATCTTGTCAGATGTTGACCTACAGTTCTTTTGAGCTTTGAGACACCTTTCTGTTCTTTAGGTTTTCCTTAAAGGTTTGTGACCATTTCATGGTACTTTTTTTGTTCAAAAGCTTCCATTATTGCATGTAAAGAATGCATATTTTTTACATGGCAATTTTGAAATTGTTTTTGAAAAACATCTTCATGAAACTATTTATTTCTTTTTTTTTTTACTTTGTGAGTGTTTGTCATAAACTTTTCCCTTTTTTAACATTATTCTCTTAATGACATACTCTTCTCTTTAAGCCCAAAACAAACACTCGCTCTTGCACCCCCAAAATATTGTTCCTATAATGTCTATGCTGACCAATAAAAATGTGTCTTTGCTCCTCACTCCAGGGGGAAAGCCAGAATGTGATCTTTACAACATAAAATTCAACAAACTAAAATTCAACAAACTAAAATCTGAAAAAGTGAAAATATAAAATATTAATAAGTGGAAAAAAGTTAAATAATAAAAAGTTTTTTTTTAATTTCCATTTACAAAACCTGTTCTTTGCATGTAATAATAGTAAAAGAAAATTTACATCATAGTCTTGATAGTCTTTTATTCAGTCAAAGATATCCTTTTGGATTCCCTGCTGGACGCTGCCTTATCAATAATTTAAGCCCTATTAACTCGCATAACTCCACAGACAAACCGCTTTAGGCAACTAAGCTAAACTGCAAAAACTCATCAAGAAAATATGTAAAAATTTCTCAAAATAAGTGTATTTGTGCTTCATTTGAGAAGATAGGTAAGAAGACCTGCCAATGGAATGATAACTTTAGCCCTTAAAATAAGATAATTAGATATGATATGGTTAAAATAGGATAATGAAGTTGTTTTTTTCTTTTTTTTAAAAAACACAAATCATCTTATTTCACTGGCAAATGTTCTTAATAACAGGTTCAAATCAAGGGAAAATAAATGTATTTGAGGAAGAACTACTGTTTGACATAACTTTTTATCATTATCTCCTCTTTCTTTAATTTTTTCTCCTTTTCTTTTCCTTTCCTGTTCTACTTGCAGTGTCCATATAATCTGTAATACTCCCTGCATGAATTATAATAAAGCAATTTATATGCATAAATCAAGCGGAACACTATACGGCGATAGCCGTACTGCTCCACTTGTGAAAGCAAAATCTGTTGGGCTCTTTTTGGCATCAAGACAATTATTCCTATTGCCACATCACCAGAAAGGACACTGTAAAAAAGAAAAAGAAAAAAAAGAACAGATTTTTGCAGTGTAAGAAAATGAGGGTATGGTGTATATTAAAATACAGATACAAAGCACAACATTTTAATAAAATATAACAAAAAAGATCAACATTTAAT